GATTGACATCTATGCTCAGCTTGAGGGGGAGTGTAGAGAAGATGGGCCGAATGGCCCATAGGCTGTTTATTCTTTCTTACTGTTTATGTTCTTTTTTGTAATGGGCCTTATTCCAGGCCCATCCTTTCTATGTCTTGTTCTTTGTAATTTCTTGCCCAAATAAGGGCCTCCTCGTAATTATTCAAATTTACCTTAACAAAACAGTGTTAGAGTGCTGAGAAGGAGTAATGTTCGAAACTCTCACTCTCAAAACCCTCATTGCTGAACTCTCAAAGTCTGTTTTCTCAGTTTTCTTCAAGTAAGAAACAATCAGTTATAGCCAAGTCAAGTGCAAAAGCAGAATAGCTATGGAACATGGTGTTTCAGAGCTTCTCTGGGTTTGGTCCTTACTGGGAGAGCTTGGAATCAACGCAGAGGAACATATGGCGTTGTATTGTGATAATCAAGCAACAATTAACATTGTTCATAACCCAATTCAGCACGATAGGACAAAGCATATAGAAGTAGATAGGCATTTCATAAGAGAAAGGATGACATTTGAGGAAGTTTGTCTGCCATCATTTGACTTCCAACTTACTAATGTACTCACCAAGGGGGTTGCAAAAAGCAAGCTTGAACATGATCTACACAAGTTGGGAATGTACGCCATCTACTCCCAACTTGAGGGGGAGTGTTGAGGTTTTAGTAGTTTATGTTTTATGTTTTAAATTAGTGTTATTGGGCCCAAGTCCCAACAGTTTAATGCTTTCTTTTATGGTATTGACAGCATCCGCCCTATTAAGGGCAATATTAGACATTGTAGTTTCTTTTTAATTAGTGACTATATAAGTTAATGAGTGGGGCATCCAGATCTATCATTGGCTTCTCCCATCTTTTCTTCTCATTCTCTTCTTCTCTTCTCTCTAAGAAACCTTTCTTCTTATACTCTTTTATTTTTTGTTATAAATCTGGTTATATTTTCTGAATTTTCTACTCATTTTGTTTTAGATAAGTAGATATATGAAAATGTAGAAACTATGTGCGCAAGTGTAAAGTTCAGCAAATCCAATTTAATTAAATAAATAAAAAGTTAAGATTTTAGATCCAGAAATACTAGTGTTGCATGGGGCATGGGACATATCTAAGGTCAAAAGGTTTATCTTACTACTAATGGTCTTTAGGGAAAATGGTACTCATCATGTACATAAGTTGTTCATTCATTTCAAATAAACTAGGAGAAAAATGGAAACACTATGTAGAAGGGCACCTTAAGAATCCAAGGTTTTGGAATTCATTTAGGATGGCCCTTGCAACACTGACAGTCACCCAAGAGGGAGTGTGTGATGCAGGCTGTCCATGTGAAAGTAGAAGAAAATTTTCCCTACCATCATTTTCCTCTTGCTTTTCTATTTCTCTACCCAACATGAATTCTTCAGTGTTACAGAACCTTTTTTTTTATAAATGAGGAAATTTATTAATCAAAGAACATAGGAGATACAAGTGACCCAAGATGAGGCATGAGGTGCAACCTCTTCAGAAAAGCCAAAAAAAGATTCTTAAACATTCAAGTCCACACTTTTGACCATGTTCCCTATTTTGTTTTTTATATTTATTTATATCATAATATATATATATATTATTTTATTTTTATATCTCCATACTCAGGAATACCTGCCTTACCAAGATGCTATATTAAAACACACAAAAAAAAATTTACATAGAGGACATTGTTTCAATTGCATTGACATAAGAAACGATGCTTCAGTCCCACCATATTAAATGCATACCTCCAACATCTAAAAATTTCAGCTTCTCATTCAAAATGATTCTAGCCATAATAGAAGCCATAATTGGAGTGGTGAAGTTCAACACAATAGCCTGAGATAGAGGTAAGCTTTGTATGCTGAAAAGGAAAGTCAACTAGCTTGTCATTATTAAAGTAGTTACCAAGTATTCAGAGGATAGAAGTTGGAAGCAAATTGCAAAAACATTATAATCAAAGCAAAGTCATCAACAACAGAAGGCAAGATGATCGGAGTATCAATGGTACTTGAGAAAAAAACACAGGAGAAGTGACCAGGAAACATTAAGCAAAATGGGCTTCAAATTGTAATTATTAAGTTAAAGATATAGTAATGGTAAGAAATAAGAAAACAAAATAAAGACAAGCCCTTAAAGTATTCAAAAAAATCTTGAAAGATAAAACTTAGGCATGGTTCAGACAAACATTATGCAACAATCCTTATCCCAAAGATGACAATAACAAGAAAGAGAGGTGCTAGAAAATTAGAAAGCCTCTTTCCTTCCGGCACTTTTAACTTCTAGTCAATGACAGCATGCCACTTGGATGACAACTTGTCAGTGGGCATCCCCTTAGATGATTTACTAGAAGTGGTACCACTACATCTAGGATGTATTTTGGGCCTTCTCACCCTGTATAGTTGCATTGTTGTTTTTGGGATGCATGGCATTTTTAGAGTTGGTTTCTTGTATTTGGCCCTGCCAATCTAAAAGTGGTCTGCTCTCAGACCTGAACCCACATTCTCATGCTAGAATTTACCCTTACACCAAGTAATGACCCCCATATCTTTAAACATTGTGGATGGGACATGATTTATATTAATTATAAGCACCTAATTTTTCCCAACACTTGAGCATCCTAAATAATTATTTCCTTTTCTGCAGTATTAAAAAATAATGTGGAACATGTTCTGCTGACCTAATATGAGGTTTATGGTTATTTTGACTACACAATAACTAAGCATCATTCAAAATAATGTTTCAACTCCATAGTCCATATTCAAGCAGTATTGTGTTGTTGCTCTGCCACATCAGCCTCAGCTGGATTATAGTCAGATTTTTATGTGAACTCTAACAACACATTTGAGAGGCAGATTATTATAAATAACAGAGGAATATTTTTTGTAATAATCTCAAATCTGCAGAATCTGCCACATAAGGCAGACAGTCATAACCGCCTGCTGTTTTCTCTTAAAATGCTTGGTGGTTGTATTATTTGTAAGAAAGCATAGGTTTAACATTAGATGATGTAACATGGTTGCATTATTATGAACAATACATCCCTGAGCAGGTATTCAATTACAAATATTGACCACCATGCCTCTCCATGATCCCAACTCTCTAAAATTCCCATTTTACTTTCCAAAGTTTCCAAAACAAGGTAGAAAAGGCCCAAAAAAAATCAAACGAAGCCAGAAGGAGAAGTTGGGAGCATAATCATTTCAGTTGTCATTGGTAAAGGATAATTTTTTGTTCCTCTTTTGTTGTGAAGAAGGAGAAGAAAAGTTGGGAACAAGAAGACAAACAAGGATCTTCTGTTTACCTTTTATTTTCTACATTTCCTCTCTCTATTTCTGCCATTTTCCCCTACTGTCATTTTCCATTTCTTTTTCTTTCTTTATGGATGAGCCTTAGCTAAGCTAGGAATCCTTCCTTTGTCTTGAAATAAATTACCAAGGGCCAGAGAACTTGTTTAGAAAAGTGGTATTTGATTGAATGAAAAGAGGCAATAAGAGGCACCTCTAGGTCTTTAAAAGCCACTGTTTAAAAGAAAGGGAAAATGAAAAACAAGGATCTTCTGTTTACCTTTTATTTTCTATATTTCCTCTCTCTATTTCTGCCATTTTCCCCTACTGTCCTTTTCCCTTTCTTTTTCTTTCTTTATGGATGAGCCTTAGCTAAGCTAGGAACCCTTCCCTTGTCTCGAAATAAATTACCAAGGGCCAGAGAACTTGTTTAAAAAAGTGGTATTTGATTGAATGAACAGAGGCAATAAGAGGCACCTCTAGGTCTTTAAAAGCCACTGTTTAAAGCTGCATATTTTAGTTTTACTTTTTCTAAATAAAATGGTAACTTTATTAAAAAAAAAAAAACTGATTTTCTCAGTTGTCTTAGGGAAAATAATGTCAAAATTTCCACTAACTATTTGACAAAATTTTGATTTTTCTAAGAGGAAGTTTTGCCAAAATGTTCTCTTGAATAGAACTCCCTTTCCAAGCCAAGTAGAAATTTGTTGGATATTAATATGTTAGTACTTCATTTGCTTAAAAGGAGATTAGATATAAATATCTATTTAAGTTGTGATTGACTAAATATTTTCAGGAAGTTCCATGGTGCATGTTTGTGGATGACATTGTTTTAATTGATGAAACTAATGAAGGATTAACTGCAAAATCAAATTTATGGACAAATGCCCTAGAAACAAGAGATTTTAAAATAAGTAGGGCCAAAATAGAGTATATGACATGTAAATTTAGTAATAATAGGAGTGCAAATCAAAATACACTTAGGATTAGAGACCAAGAGATAACTCAATGTGACCATTTCCGGTACCTTGGTTCAATAATTCATAACAAGGGAGAGGTTGAGGAGGATGTCACCCGAAGAATTAGAGAAGGATGGGCAAAATGGAGGGGTGCATCTGGACTTCTATGTGATAGGCAAATACCACCTAGATACAAGGAAAATTCTATAAAAAAGCTGTTAGGCCAGCTATGTTGTATGGAGCAAAGTGTTGGGCAGCCAAGAAAGAACATGAAATGAATGTGGCAAAAATGCAAATATTAAGGATGAGTGGAAAAACCAGAAAGGATAGGATTAGGAATGAAGTTATCTAAAGGAACCTAGGGCTAGCTCCTGTAGGTATATACCGCTCACTCAGACCCTCAAAGAATGAACACTAAAATGGTTTGGGCATGTGCATAGAAGATCACCGACTATGCCAGTTAGAAGAAGTGATTTGTTACACATTGAAGGGCCTAGAAAAGCTTGGGGTAGACCAAAAAGGACATGGCTAGAAGTAGTAAGAAATGATCTAAGCACTAATTATTTAACAGTGGATATGGATTGGTGTAACAAGATTCATGTAGCCAACCCCATATAGTTGGGATAAGACACGGATGATGATGATTTAAGTTGTCATCAAATTTTGATTTTCTAAGGGGAAATTCTGTCAGTTTTTTCTGAAATTTCCCTAAAACTAGATTCTAAAATTAGAAGTGTCATACCCCCCCCCCCACATCCATCCCTTGCATCATCATTGTATTTTTTTTTCAAAAACGTCCAAAATTCCTTAATCCACATCTCCTTTTGATTTTTCCATATAATGGCCATGTTTAGAGCTAGGGAAATTCTAATAGCTTATCCTACCCAATTTGAGCCCCAAATCCAATCCCCTCTTTTCTATTGCTAACTGATTAATTTTATCATATTGCAAGAAAAGAATGATATACAAAAATTCTATGCCACGCACCCCTTTAGACTAGAATAGGCCAGCCCCTGCTGCATAACACCTTAATCTCAAATTTTCTTGCTTACAACATTTTTTGTTATTAAAGAAAAGAATGGTATACAAAAACCTAATCCCTCATTCTTTTGTTTTGCTTCTTTTAAAAACTACCAAATGTTTCTGCGTATCTTCAATTTAATATTTTCATCCTTTATTCTCTCTTAACTGTCATTTTAAAAGAGACTTTTTTTTTTCATCAGCTGCTGAAAATTTTATTGATTAGATTAAAAGAATGATAATGTTGCATTCCAGTGCCTAAGCACCCCTATACTTTTGCGAGAAAAAAGAACCCTATACTTGATAATTTTCAAGTAGCAACCCCACTTTTGGTTTATTAATATAATAAATTTTCCATGGGTGCCACCTTGTGAAAGAACCAATGGTAATCCTAACCACATTATTCCATACCCTTTTGTCCACCACTTTATTAATAAAAAAACTAAACATTGCTTACATTTTTCAAGTCTTGGTTTCTAGGTCGTTTTTTCAACCAACTTGGCTTTCTGCATGTGTGATACTAGACAAGTAAATGATGTTCTCTTTATCTTTTGTTTTCAGCCCTCCACTTCCATTTTCATTTTCATGGTTTGATTGATCAAAGCAATCCCTGTACAGATTTTGCAGTGTCATGATAAACCTAAATTTCTTCCCAGAAACCCTTTAAACCAGCTGTGTTCACACTATTTTCTTCTAGATTTTAGAAATGTTTTCCATAAAAACTTGTTCTATCAACATGGAGAAAGGTGATATTTTTGTTATTCTAATGACTGAGAGAATATATTGTAATAAGCTGATGCAAACATATCCTTTTTCATTTAAATCTTTTCCTCCACTTTTTGTGTCTGAAACTCACTTTTTTTGATGGTTTGATACAAAAATGGCCTACTTATCCATTTCTCATGGTTAGTAGTCCATATGGAGCCTGCTTTCAAAATTTGCATTTCATTCTTAAATCTGAATGACCAATCTCCTCACCAATTTGTAGATGGGTGACAGATCTTCATTTATTTTTTCTTTTTTTTTTTTGATAAGGTATGAAATTTTATTGAAATTAAAGAATAACAGGAGAAAGGTTCAAGGTGGAAACTTCAACCACAGAGGCGCAAGCTGCAGCCTCAATGAGAAAAAAGCATATTACAACTGTGCCCAAAATAACTGATTCTTGTGTATCCCTTGCTTAGCTAAACAATCTGCCACACCATTCACAAAGCTCCCCTACGTGACCAAGGCGCTTTCTCTGGTTCCCTTAGCCACCCAATCTTCATTTCTTTTTTCCCTACTCATGTAAGGGACCTGCTCCAAATACTTATTCACACTAATCAAAATTCGAAACCGGTCATGCCATTTGTATTTGTTAACCATAAAAGAAAATTAACAAATAGATACTCACTCTTTAATGGGCCTGATTGATCTTTAGTGGACCAAGCATACCCAGAACTGGATGATGACCAAGGTTGAACATGATATTTACCAAATGTAACATCACATACAGAATAGATACTTGTAGATGTACTCTATCTCTATGGCATCAACACTTGTAAAATAGTATGTTCAAACAAGGTATACCATAAAGCGTCTGTAAATGCTAGAAATTCAATTAAATATGGCAAGACAAATCTTGACTGAGGCTTTCTGATGGTTTTAATTTAGGGTTGGGAAAAAGAAAAATCGGGTAATGAACCGGTTGGTTATAATTTAGGGTTTGAAGAAGCTCAGAGAAAAACTGATACCTTCTGGAGACATAGAGGATGTGAATAAAGAGGGTTCCAAATGCAATGTTGTAGGGGTGAAGTTCCAATAGGGAATAGTCAGGGGTCAAGTTTTGGTAAGATGTATGAGTTTGTGTATTGGTTCAAGGAGGCTGTTCTTTGGAGTTTGGAAGGTTCTTTTGGCTTGGAAGTTGAGGGTTTGGTAAAGGGTTTTGGTTGGATGTCAGGTTTTTCTATCTCTTCTCTTGGGTGACTTCTGGTCACCTTTCTTGTAATTTCTTTTTCTTTTAATAAAATTTTTATTTGTACTACCAAAAAAATATAGTTTCAAAAACTAGATCTAAAGCATGATATTACATGGCATACCCTCACCTATATCAGTGATCTTGTCCATATCCATATTTGGGCATCACAATACTATCCCATGCACCAATTCTCTAGTACAAATTGCTTTGTGTCCAATTCTTAAATAATGCATCCGGTTCTTCTTCTCCCTCTACCTCTCAAACCTTCCCCTCCCCATATAAAGCTTAGATATATGTTGACCATCATTCCCATGTAAGTTTCTAAACTCATAACTTTTATAAGAGAGGAGTACGACAAAAGCATAATGTTGGAGCAAAGATGATAGTTGTGTAAGATGTACAGAAATATCTAAACATTCCCCCATTAGAACCTAAAAACATCATAGCTCAAAAATCATATTCCATTTGTAGAGAGATACTAAAATAAGAAAGTAAGTTGGAAGATCCAAAAGGGTGCTCAAAGTTCTACTGCACTAGAACCGATACCATCACAGCAATCAAAAAAGAACATGATTGAATAGACCTAAAACAGAAAATCCACATATAAGGTCATAAACTACTTAATATATGCTGATTCTTGACTTAAGAGATCTTTTCAGTGATACCACATATTGGAGTCTTCCATCCTCCTGACCCATAGCACAGACTCATATTTGTATGTGCATGACAGACATAAAGAGAAAAACTTCTTCCCATCATAATACATGCAAGCCTAAATAATAAACATGAACCACTTTAGAAAACTTTTACCTGTATACAAAACTGAACAATGAGAGGTATCCCATTAAGGCTCTTGAAAACAAAAGTTTCCGTACATGGGTTGGTCCAAAGATAGGTTGTCTAGTCCTTTTCAACCACACAAATGATGAGATCAAGATAATTGTACACCTCACAAATACAATTTCAAATAATGGAATTGGTTGACCTGTCATTGCAAAATAAAATAAGATAAAAAAAGAGCTATGATGAACATAATGACCAATAGAACATCAGAACAAGGAAAGAAAATCAATATGAGTATTCCATAGGCAATTTATGCAATTCATTCTGTCTAAACTAGAAAACTCTGTCCTTAAAAAGGACATTACCCAATGTTGGTCCCAGCAATCAGGTGTCTTGGGAGGGGTGGACTAAATACAACCTAACCTCTATTTATGTTTTTTGCATAAGGTGGCCGCTCTCAGACTTGAACCATGCTTATCATCCCGAGATCTTACCATTTCACATAAACTGAATAATCATAGCCAAAGCATAATATGACAAGAAATTATCACTTACATCCACATAAACACAAAAGTTATAGCCAATTCCATGGAACCAGTGTTCTAAAAGCACAAGGCACAAGGCAAGGAACGCAATGCACCTTTTTGAAGCAAGGCACAAAAATGCAAAAGGCAAAAATTCAAAAAAATGCAAGAATTTTAAAAATGTTAAACATAATATTAATTAAAAATATAAACTTAAATTTTAAAATACATAAACATAACATGTAAAACATATTCAGAATGAAAAGCATGTTAAACTTTTGGTCACTTTATTTTTTTTCCCAACCGCATTACTTCAAATTGCTATACATTTTGCATTCCTAATTCTACAGGCCACCTTTGTACTAAACCCCTTGAGGCAACCCAAACAAGTCCATGTTAGGTTCTTAAGTTCTTAATCCTTACAAGAAAAATGATTTTATATTTTTAATTATCTTTTAAAAATATATCTTGTATTAGGATGAAATGAATGAACAACATTAGCAAATAGGGGGTTCTCAGAGCTTTGGTGAGCAAGTCCGGGGGCTCCACCCCCAACCCAGCCACTAGGCTTAAAAAAAAAAAGCAAAATGCACAAATTTCGAAAACGTGCACACCTGAGCTAAGTGCAAGGTGTACAATGCACATGCCTGGGTGCACTAGGCACACACACCTTTTGAAAATGTTGGGCCTAGCCATGCTTTTTAAATCACTGCATGGAGCAACGTCAAACATACTAAACTTTGTTGGTAATTGGTAATAATCACTAATATTAAGTTGTAGTTTCTTTACTTCACTATGCTTAGGGATGAAAATGGGTTGGGTTAAATGGTAAACCCGGCTTGACCCGACCCTATAGGATCGTGTTAGGGTCAAGTATTATTTGGTTTAGGGTCGGGTTAGGGTTTTGATTCTTTGACCCCAATCGGGTTTGGGTCAGGTTTGGGTTTTGGCTGACTCACCCCGCTGGGTCATGATACCTTGCATATATACCATGTATTCTTGCAATTGTTTGACTTCTAACTTTATAGGCATAAAGTTTATAATTTATTTATATGTTGATTTTGATTTTCTTCTTTTTCTAAATGGAAAAAATAACACCTTAGAATCTATAAAACAATTTCCTTATTTAAATTAATGTATTTTAGGTCTTCAAAATGTGTTAAAAAATACATTTAAAACTATACGGGTCAAGTCAGGTCAGAACCGGGTTAAAACCTATAGGGTCAGGTCGGATTCAGGAATCATGTATTTTAAGCCAGGCCGGATCGGGTTTGGGTTGGAGTGCTGGAGGGTCAGGTTAGGGTTGAGGCAAACCCGTGCCGAACCCGACCCATTAACATCCCTATGCTAAGTACCAAGAGATAATGGTTTTAGATTGATCTGAGATGCAAAAAGATATTCGTGGATGTCCTATTCTTCTGTTGGCCACCACTTTGCAAGGAAAGCATGGCAAAATGTACTTAAGCTTCCCCTATCAAGGTTCCACCCATTTTAGATACATGCATCATAGCCCAACTATTCAATTAAATGGATGTGCTCTCTTATTCTTAAAACAAATAAGGTTGTATGAGTAGAAATCTTGATGAATTAAAAAATTTGTGAAAGAAAAGATGTTTTCTTGAAGAAGAGAAGAGAGAAGAAGAAGAGGAAGAGGTTTGAGAGAGAAAAGAGAGCTCTTAATCTGGCCGCCCCCTTCACTAGTATTTATATTAAAAATATAAAGTGGAGTACAATGACAAATATGCCCTTATAGGGCGGCAAGCATCTAAAACTGCATAAAACACTTAAAAGGCAATCAACAAAGGGCCCAACAAGAGTGTTGTGGTCCCCACTTCCTATCTAAACAATAAATATATAAAAGATTACTGCTAAATCTGCACAAAACTGATTAAATCCTCAACACTCCCCCTCAAGTTGGGAGTAAATGTCACACATTCCCAACTTGAGTAGATCATGTTCAAGCTTGTTCTTTGCAACTCCTTCAATGAGGGCATCAGCCAACTGCAATTCTGAAGAAACATAAGGCAAGCAAACTTCTTTGGTTGTTACCCTCTCTCTTATGAAGTACCTATCAACTTCAATGTGTTTTGTCCTGTCATGCTGAATTGGATTGTGGGCAATATTGATTGCAGCTTGGTTGTCACAGTATAACATCATAGGTTC